AATGAGATATTTCTGTTTGATATCAGGCTGTCATTGTGTTGCTTGAACAGATTTTATTTATTTATTTTTTGTGGGTGGGAATAAAGTTACTGTTGATTATAGTTTATTATAAATAAAATAAAGTGTGCCTGTGTATTTTATACTGAATTATTTCAAGTTCAAGATCTTAATTCATTTTCATTTAAAAACAAAATTAATTCTATACACACATAAAATGAAAGGCAGAAATAAAAGTCTAATTTTATTCCCTGCTCCTTATTTTCAAAAAATAAAATATAGGCTACTAAATTATTTCACACATTCTTAAAATCAATAAATACAGTAGTTGAATTTCAACTTAAGATTTTCACAATMTTATCTTGACATTTCTCWGAGAATAATTTTGAATATGATATATTTAAAATATATTCTGTGTGACTGCTTGTGTTTTTCTAAATACAGGATCAACAAAATCCCCTGAGACTCTTCAGATTTACTTTAAGTCAGATGTTTGATATCTAAATTTTAGGCCCAGCTTTGATACAAATTTTTTTTTACAATTAATTCTTCAAAGTATTAACATTTCCTACAAGTCTGATAAATACAGCCCCTGGTCTTTGATTTAAATTTTGACATGAACGTTCAAAAACTTTAAAATGTTTGGATAATCCCTTTATTAAATAGAGTCCATACAGTTGATCAGTTTCATCTAATGCTTTGCGCCGCCCTTCCTCCTGAGGACAGGACATCGTCACCATTTGTGTTTTTTATGAAAATCATCACCTGTGCAACAAGTGAAACTCTGCTCTGGGATGTGTCTCACGCTACCATTGCTTTCTTTTTAATGATGAACCAAGCTGCACGCAGTTCTGTGTGGGTCCGTGTGTGCGTGCGTTCGTGTGCGCGCGCACACGTGCGCTCGCAGCAAAGTTTCTTTGTGGGTTCGTGACTCCCACTCTTTCTGGCCCAGGCTTATAAACTGCACGACAAACTAAACACATACGTTTGTTTGCCTCTGTGTCTCACAATAAGTCCTTCTGGTTTGTTATATTTTGCGCATTTGCCATCAAAACACACCACGAATCCAGCCAATGATTTACTTCCTCGTTAACCTTTGAATCAGGTACCAAAGCAGTGACGTAAGTTCACCACTTTCGAAGCTTCGGACGTCACTGATCACATGACTTTTACCAAACGAATCAAGCTCCGACACAGTGCTTCTGAAACAGTGTGTTGTTTTTTTCAATACATGCGCTGAAGCTTCAGCTTCAAACTGCCCATCACTATTCAAAACACATGAAATCCTATCTGAAAGTGTTTAAAGTAGTCCATGTAATTTAATAGCAAAAACAAAACAGGAAGTGAAAAATACAAACATCCTCACAAAACAGATAAACAGTTATTTCAACATTAAAAAAAGCTTGATGTGTCATTATGTTGCAGGTGACCGAGCTCTTATAGTGCGTTCACACCAAACGCGTTTTCAGCATCAGGAGCATCAGGTTTACATACAAAGTCTATGGTGGACGCGCTTCAAGCAACGTTGGGAAATGCTGCGGCGCCTCAAGCACGATTAGAGCAGCGTGATTTGAACGATCTGAGCGTTCGACGCGCTGAGGCGCAAATCGCTGAAGTTAGAAAATCTGAACTTTTGCAGCTCGHCGCGCHRCRTCAACCAATCAGRGAGACTCCACTGTGTGACRTAGYGACATATTTCCCGACGGGACAGTTTACTGAATGAKGTCCACTAACCTGAAACAGATGGAGAGGAGCTCTTTAGCTGAAATCTAGTGCCTGCAGTCGGTGTCCTGATCCGCAGCAATGCGTGACAGCGACTCATCAGACTGGAAAAATAGTCCTGAAAGCGAGCTGTGAGCCTCTACTCTGAATTGTCTGGTGAATTAATTATGAATTAATTATCTGATGAACGTGACATGCTCTTGCTCTCTGTAAATAAAGCAAAGCCACTTCCTGGTCCGACATTAAACAGAGCCCGACAGAGGAGGGAGGGGCGGGGAGGCTCTGCCGTGCAGCGCTTCAAGAGCTGACCTGCGTCTGACCTCAAAGTGCGCAAGCTTCAAACTTCAGCATTGGCTGCGATTTTGAAGCTGAAATCGCGTTCGGTGTGAACGCAGCATTACTATTAAATTGTTTGGCACATCCAAAAGGCACATAAATGTATAGTTCCTCAGCAAGGCATGAAAAGGTAGTGTTAGGGTGTGTATTCATTGTGTAAAGCAATAATTTTAACAACAGAAGTTGAAAACTGAAAAATTTATTTGAATAAAATGATGACATGATCATTTATCCACTTTTATCTAAATTATGTTTTAAATGTAGCCTTTCAGTGTCGTCTCAAGCAGATCTTAGAAAAGTTAAGACATGTTTATGAGTGAGACTGTCTTACCATTTTGTTAAATAAAGCTTCATTTTTTTGTTTACAGTAAAATGTCCATTCTTTAGTTTCTAAATTGAGAAATGTTTCTATAAAGTACAAGATTTCACTATTTAAAATAATGAGTTTTAGTGTTTTCTTTTGAACATGAAATGGAGAAATAATTAATTATTTTGTGTTTTTCTGTCATTGTGAACATTCTTTTCTTCCACATGATCATTTAAAAAGAGCATGTGCAAGGCTTGACAACTTGATCAGTTCATTCTAGCTTCATCCATTTCACAAAGGCCAAACCAGGCAGAAAAGTTGCGTCTATGTCAAGCTAGGTATAAGTAATGAATGCTGAAAAATAACATTTTCTAACAGTTACTTTTAACAGAAAACACTAATCATATCATTTAAGGATTTACCTGTCATTTGCTGAAAATGAACAGTGGAAATCAGTAATGTAATGAGTGAATTTGTTGATGTTACTCTTTTTTTGTTCCACATCTTACCAATATTTCTACATTACGAACATGACTGGATCAAAGAGGACTCTGAGATGGCAAGCTGTAATGTCGTTGTGTGGTTTTGGAAAACCAATGGATAAAATCCCTGAAAAGTGTGCCGCAGATCCAAGAGGATGCCATTGTGAACCAACTATCAAGGAGGGGCCACCGTGTCAAAGAAGACAAACGTCCAACAAGGACGTTGAAGTCGGCGAGAGCTATCGCATTTTCGAAAGATGTCCACGTTCAGATTGTTGGCGTTTGTGGCGCTGCTGACGATAGCGTTTTGTGCTGGCACTGTTGTCATACATGCTAAAGTTAAAGCAAGCATGAGGCAACAGAACTGTGCAGTGTTCATTACGCTGATTGAAAATGGTGAAATCCTTTAGGTCCTTTGTGAATGCCCAGCAGGGTAAGTTAGTTGTTCTTGTCTTGTTTTTACCAAACTTTTGACTCAAGAGTCAGAATCAAACGTTTGCGTCAATGCTATAGAACTGCTCACACCAAAACTTGCTGAACTTTAGACTGATTTGGTGTTTATTATTTATTCATGATTACACACTTTACTGTTTTTCATCGGCGTGAAGTCGTGATGGCGAAGCGCATTGAGCCATAGCTTTCTTCTTGTAGCAGCTTTGCTTAACTTTCCTAGGTGAAGTTGGTAAAAGGAGCAAGCTTCTCCTTTATCTTTTACTCAGTCACACTGCCTCGAACAATTATACACACTACAAAAGTCACTTTTCCCCATTGCTATTGTTGGAAGGAATGTAAACACTCGACTCGTACGGCGAGTGATCCCCCTTACTTTCAGTGAATGTGCGAAAACCACGTGTGCGCATGCATTATGATCGAAATGTGCAAAAGGTCTATTGAACATTAATAATGCTCACATGTACAATTATAAAATTTAAAATGATAATCATCATATTGTTAATAAAATAATAGTATTTGACTTAATGTCAAAGTGAATCAGTGGTGTTTTATTGCAGACTGATAATAAAAAGTTAGCCTGGTCTGGAGCAGGGCTTTGTTGGATTATTAATCTTGTTAGCCTGAAAAGTTTTCTTTATTTCAAGAAGTCTTACCAAGTGCAACTGTCAAACTGCAGATTGTTATTATTAATTTGAAAAGATTCAGATTTTTAACTTATTTTTAGATGGCTAAAAATAAGCAGTGTCTGATCAGAAATCAGTGTTTCGTATTAGGGCTGCCAGAAACGATTATTTTTATAGTCGATTAATCACCGATTATTTTTTCGATTAGTCGTCTAATCGAATCATATGTTAATTGAATATAAAACATACAGCTTGTCGCGCCAGAATGCAGCTGCTATTATATAACCATCGTTAGATTTTAGCTATATGCTAACTAAAAACAATTGCTGTGGAAGGCAAGTTCTGCTCTGCAGATATTACACAGGTTTCTCTTTCATTTTCTTAAAATGATCCCACACTTTTGAGCTCCGTTGCTGGGTAGCCATGATACCAGAGCCTGTCTGTATAATGTCTTGTGCAGTCCACGGCCTACCCCAGTTACCACTACTGTGCATGTGTGTCAAGGACAGAAAGGCAGATGTGGCAATGGAAGGTGTCAAAGCAGTTTGGAGAGAAAAAAAAGTAAAGAACAAAAAAAGAAAATGATTAATCGATTATTAAATTAGTCATTGATTATTTTAATAATCGATTAGTCGTCAATTAATCGATTAATCATGGCAGCCCTATTTCATATACTTACTAAATTTATTCTTTTTTCTTTGCATTAAAACATTACAGAGTAAAAATATTTGTTTTATTTATTTAGCCGATTATTCGTGAAAAGGAATAATTAAAAAATAAATAAAATAGTCTCAGAGCCTGACATGCCATGATCAGGAAATCATTGATCCACCTGATGGGTCTAGTCATAAGCAAACCGTGAACGTGCATTAATCCTAAACTATTTACAGCTGGCTTGAATGAGCTAGCCTGATTAAGCGTCACTTGGTGTTTGAGCAACAGATTACAGCTGTTGACAAGTTGAAGGCTTGAAGATATCCTGGATTTATAAAATCTGACTTTTGTGAAATTTGCTTGTTTTGTTTTGTAGGAAAATCACCAGAATGAAATCATGATTTTATTTTGAAAACTAATGGAAAGCAGGAAGTTACGTTTTACGCAGCCTCATTGACGTAGTACGTAAATAAGTTGTCCAAGCTGTTAGCTGAGGTTGTTGACTTCCTTTTTGATCATCTCTTGTTCTGAAATATTGATGACAGGTCGAAAATAATTTTCCAGCGTTCAGAAATAGATCGGCGCTGACATTTTAATTTACAAGAAAACATGATATGACTTCGTAACACGAATAAAAAGAACGCATCGCGTGCGCAGGAAACCGAGGTTTTGATCAACCAGCTAGCGGGTTAGCAGCACGGTCTCCACTCCGTGTGCTGTTCATGCTCTCTTTATTCCCCGTTTACTTCATTTGGTTTCGCTCTCTGTTACAAGGTTCAGTTCGTGGTTTCTCCGGGAGAGAATGAACTGGTTTTTCCCCCAGTCTAAAGGCTCTGGACCGCTCCCTCTCAACAGCCTACAGCAACAAAGACAGCGGCAGATCGAGTCCCTGAAAGCTGCTCATCCCAGGTAAGATGAACGATGATCTGTCACAATGAACCGCAACAACATCTGCCTTTTAACCCAGCTCTTATCAAACGGACAACACTGCAACATTTCAGTTTCTGTAACAAGTTACTGTGAGTTAACACTGTGTCCATAATGTCCATGTTATTGTTAGCCAACAACTAGCCACTTTCACTTACATTTTAGGGAAAGTATTACACCAAACTGACCTATTTATTTATTCATTCATTCACAAATTTGTTCCTGTTACTCTGTCTCTCTGAACTCAGTCAGTGGCTCCTGGCGTGATTTTAAATTGTTAATGTTTGCCAACCAAGTAAAGTTGACTCTCCTTGTTTATTTATAGATCTGAATGCACAACTTGTAGCTGCTGCTCATGATCATGTCCTGTGATTATTCCAGCCTTTACCACGCGTGTAGTATCAGGATGAGCTCGTGGAGATTAAAGCATTAGCTTTTGTTTACCAGGAATTAATACACCCTGGTGACTATTTTACCTCTGCATTTAGGTGCCTACAGGCATTATGAACAATTCAACACACACACACACACACACACACACACACACACACACACACACNCACACACACACACACACACACACACACACACACACACACACACACACACACACACACACTTTTTTTTCAGCAATTGTAGTTGCTTGATTACACCAAATGTGTGACGTGATTGGAATTACACAGTTGTTGCGACAACACCATGCTTTTCAAATGTGATTTCTTTGATTAATGTGACAAAATAAATGCCTTTTTTGTCATGGCAAAATCTTTATGTCTTTAAGCAAATTAAACATTCCTAAGAGGACAGAGTTGTCTGTTTTCAAATGTCTACATATAGATTCAGAAATGTATCTAAACTATTGGTTGGTGGATGTGACGTTGTGTTATTTTTTTCTAAGCCACAGCATAAATATTTACACTATATTTTATGATTTATTTTTTTTTTGCTTACAGTTTTTAACCACGTATTCCTGCATTATGTATTGTATGGAAAGCTGTCTTGGCCAATCTAAGGTGTTTACTAACAGCTACATACAAATTATTTACAACATTTGTTGGCTCACTCTTATGTGGTCTGTCCAAGAGAAATCAGTATCATTAAGGCACGCTGTTGTATTTTTTCTCTCATTTATTTATTGCCGATAAATGTTTTAATGCTTTTTATAAACATGCAGCTGATGATCAGTGATTTAAGACCACTGATCATGATGTGTCTATTTTTCCCCCCACAGCCTTGCCGAGATCCAGAAAGATGTCGAGTACAGAATACCTTTCACAATCAACAACTCTACCATTAGTGTTAACATGTGAGTACATCTTTTAACAGTCACATAGCAAGATAACCTGCTTCTAATTTGAAGTTAGACGCTGGTTAGAACTCTATTTATAGATTCGAGTAATTCCAAAGGTCAAATGGCATAGAAGATACAAACGTTTTGCATTTAAAAGAGAAAATAATGTATATTCTGAATAACTTGGACCTGGGTGGATCCCGTCATCTCAAATTAATACATAGTTTATTGCAATTACTGTAGTGCTGATGAGCCACGTTCAACTACCAAAACCACTTCCAACCCACTCATGAGTACCAGAAAAGTAGAAAAAGGAGGCTTGGTCTGATAAATCCCCTTTTTCATTATGTGAACGATCATGTCTGTGGACATTGCTTAGCAGCGTTGTGGAGAAATATTCATGAAATTTGGGAACTTTCAGCAGCTTCACTGCAGCAGCAGAATGGTTTTACAGAACTGCAGAACTGCATCTATCAGAAACACTTTATTGTCATTGTCAGTAAACAAGCTACAGACCAGGAATTTGTTGTGGCTGTCAGTTACATGGTAAGTGATGGGGAGGATTAAATGAACCAAGACCACCTATGAAGCAATTTTAAAAGCACTTTTGTAATGGTTTTAGTGTGTTAAATCACAGATAATGAATTAATCGTCATAGACTGGACTTGTTTGTTCTCAGATGCAGAATCATCTGTAACTTCTTAACACCAGACAATGAGCACTGGAACCTTTCATAAAGAGCTTATAATCAAACCCTAAGTTTATTTATTTAGTTATTTAGATTTAATTTATTTTGTGTGTCCTGTGCAAAGGTGACTTCTCTGCACTGTGACCTGATAAGCAAACAATATTAAAGAGCCATGTTTGATTTCAATGTTTCTCTCTCTCTCTCGCTCGCAAAGTAGCTAAACTGACTGAACTACAAATACCATCAATTTATAAATCATTGGCTGTACTGGTTGAACTTTTTACACCTATTAATGTTTAAAAACTCACTTTTCTGAAATATGTAGCATATATTTCATACAGTTTCATGCACCAAATTAATAATTTGTTGGAATATTTTCAAACCATCTGTACAGAATTGACTCAGCTTGTAAAACAAGCTTGTCTTACCTTTTTTTCCCCTCTCTTTCCTCCAGTTTGCTGCCTCTTCAGTTCCCTCAGGACAAGCCGGTGGTTACTGTTTACCCCCCTGTTGGCCATCATTTAGTAGACAGCAATAATGGCACCACCATCATCAGCCCCCTCATCACTAATGTGAGTAGCTGCCTGGAGAAATTGGCATTTTTTTTAGGAAAGTCTGAGGATTATAGTTTGAAATACTGATCCAGCATATTCTAATGTGTACATTAAAGCTTTGCACATTTTACTGTTTATGCAAGAATCACAGTTTGTATCAGTTTGGATTAATCTGGTGATCCCCTTTCAAAGATGTGGACCAAATCAGTTTTAGTAACATTTTCATAAAATCCCTTTATGACACCCCCCCCCCCCCAGTAAATTTGCTGAGAATATCTGAGAAAAGAGGCATATTTTCATTGGTTTTTCCTTCAATGCTGCAACTTTAAGGGAAATAAAACAAACTGTGGTTTTTGTGGTAATGCTGTTTCTCTGACTAAAAGTGAAATTGAAATGAGTAAGTCAAAGTAAGGTTATTTACATAAGAGTTTGCTTTTGCCAGATGATTCTGCTTCATCTTCTCAGATCCACTTTTCAGTGACAAACACATGATTTTACTTAGCATTTAGTTTGGAGAACCATTTGTGTCCAGGTGTAAATTATTCTTTGCTTTTATTTGTCAGACTCTTCTTTTAAACCCTCAACATTTCAGCCTCTGACATTTTTTTTTCTGATTAGAAGTTCAAATATTCATAAATTACGACATTTAATCTTGTGAGGAGGGATATGATGGCTGTGTCTCAATGTGGTAGCAGCCGACGTTGTGCACATTTGTCTGCTGCTTGTGTCACTGTGCCTGAGGATCCTACACATAGGCTTTGACCAATGTTGTAAATAGAAAATATGGATTTTACAGCAACCAAGTCAATACCTTCCCAAGATTTATTGGTACATGTGAGCGGGACCTTATTTACTGATCTTGTGTGAAAACATCAACTTGCTTTTTTTGTCTACTTTGAACCTATATTTATTTAATTTAGAATCAAAATCGAAAGTTACGTATGTAACTACGGTTCTATGAATCCTGAATGACCGCCAGAGGGCGGTGCTAAAAGCACTGAATGTTCCCTTCGCGCATGCGCCGTTCGAGCTGTAATACCAACAG